AAACAAAGTAAATGTGAGGAATACAGAAACATGCAGTATCTTTGCATTCATTTTGTAAGTCTAGAACTGTTCCACAATAAAACTGTCACCTAAAAGAAGTCCAGGGTCTGGTGTGGTGGCACACGCCTGTGATCTCAGCACTCCAAAGGCTGAGGCAGGAGGATCTCCACAAGTTCAAAGCAAGTCTGAACTACATAGTGAGTTTAAGCCCAGTCTGAACTACACAGCAAGACCAAGTCTCATCCCTGGATCCCCCAAAAGGAAAATTAGTTGTAAGATAAAAAGATAATTTTCCAGTACTGAAGCCCAGGCACTCTGAAGCCATAGGTAATTAAACAATCATATAACATACAGACCAGAAATAATTCTGGTTACATGTTTACAGTGGCACAGTTTGTAACAGTTAAATATTGGAATCAGCCCAAATGCCCATCAACTGAGGAGTGGATAAAGAAGACGTGTGGTTTTTTTCATACAAAGGAGTACTACTCTGCCATAAAGGATGAGCTTGAGATATTTATAGCTCAATGGATCCACCTTGAGACCATACTCTTCAGTGAAATAAATCAGACTCACATCTTGAAATACTGCATTATTTCTATGGTGTGAGAAACTGAAAGTGGAAATAAGGACTAAAATATATAATAGATGATGGGAAATGGGAAAATGGGAAGGGAAACAAGGGAGGAGGGAGGGAAAAAGGAAGAAAGGGACAAGGAAAAAAGAAAATAGAAGGAAAATAATGGAAACAAAGCTTTTGTACATAGGGAGGGGAGGGGATTTAAGGGGAGGGGGATGGGAAAAAGAGGCAGGATGAATCATGTACAGGTGCAAATTCCCTATGATGAGTGTTAGCGTTATGTATACCTAAAATGCACCAATAAATGTTTTGTTATAAAAAATAAATAACCCCAGGACTGGGGATTTAGCTCAGTGGTTCCGCTGCCTGCCTCAAAAGCACAAGGTCCTGAGTTCGATCCCCAGTACCAAAAATAAATAAATAAATAAATAAATAGGGGCTGAGCTTAGCAGCACTGCGCAAGGCACTGCTTGCCTTGCAAGTGCAAGGTCCTGAGTTCGATTCCCCGTACCCCCCCAAAAAAGTAAAAAAATATTGCTTCTCAGCCTTCTGGCTAAGATCAAGTGTAAATAAATAAATAATGGTGGCTGGGCCAGGGATTTAGCTCAGTGACACCGCTGACTACCTCGCAAGTCCAAAGTCCTGAGTTCGATCTCGGGTACCAAAAAAAATTGTGGTTTAAAGAAAGGTAACACTGGGCTGGGGATTTAGCTCAGTGGTTCCAGCGCCCGCCTCGAAAGCGCAAGGTCCTGAGTTTGATCCCCAGTACCAAAAAAGAAAGAAAGGTCACACTTAATCCCCAAAACCATCTCAAACTCAAATAATCCCCAATGCGTGGCTCATATAAAAACTATAAATAAAACAATAATAGCATTTTAAAATCCTGATTATTCTAAGCCATAAACAGTCCCCCAAATCTGCAGCTGCCAATCTCACCTCTAAAGACCACCCTGCCGCCTATGCCTCCAAAGACGTGTAACCCCATTTTGGCAATGAACACCTCCCCCGCAAAGAAAATACCAAGATCACACATAGACCCAGCCCTACCTTCCTATTCAGGAGCACAGGTCTCCTCTAACACTTGTTTTTTTGTTGTTTTTTTCTTTTGGTACCAGGGATCTAACTCGGGTCTTTGCGCTTGCGCAGCAGGTGGCAAAACCACTGAGCTAAATCCCTGGCCCATAACACTTGTTTTTTAAATACAGTTTTGCTCCAATACGACTCACAAATCTCAGGACCATTTTGAGCATAAGTGGAGTTTTGCATTTCTTTATGTGTTATTTTCCTCCTCGCTTCCCCCCCAAAAAGCAATACTGGATAAAGACAGAAAACTGTACCCAGCTAAACTTCCTAACGCCTGCACACATGTCTCAAATGTCTAGCCCAGAGTATTTTGGTTTTGATTTTGATTTTTTTGAGACAGGATCTCGGTGTGTAGTCCAGGCTGGCCTCGAACTCACTGTGATCCTCCTGCCTCAGTCTTCTGAGAGCCGGAATGACAGGTGTGCCACCATCCTTGGCAGAATATCGATTCATTCAAACTGCTATGCCAGAGCCTCCTGGGGACACACTGTGACCACTGAGCACCGCAGCCCCCCTTGCCTTGAATGGTCTGGCTTCTCTGGCTGGCCCTTTCCCCTGTGATACCCCATACTCACACATAGGCGGATTAGAGGAAGGGACTCCCAGGGGCCAGGAAAAGCCACTGCTCACATCCCAGTGACACGTCCTGGCCCAGACTGACGCCCAGGTCGGGAGGGGGAAACTGAGGCACGGGCCAGTTGTATGACTGTCACATGTCAGAAGTGGGTGAATGTGAACCTCGATTGCCAGAATCCAGAGTCTAACTCCTCCCTCCATCCTTGGCTTTCTCGGGAGGCCTCAGTTTATCCAAGAGACCTCATCACGCACACCTGTCCCAACTTCCAGAAGCGGTTTCCCGCCAAAATTGCAGAGAACCACACGCTTCCGGAGAGGGCCGGAGGAAGCCACTGCCATCCGCACGGGGTCGGGGCGGGCATGGCTCCCATCGTCCGGGGGGAAACTGAAGCTCAGAGGGGCGACTGTGTGGCCGGAGGACACCCAGGGAACGGGCAGCTGCGCCAAGCCTGGTCCCTGAGCCCCGCTGGGCAGGGGTCGCAGGCGGAGGTCAGGGGGCGGGGCGGGCCGCGGGGAGGTCACGGTCGCCTCACCTTCTCGCTGCTGCTGCTGCAGGAGGGGCGGCGGCTGGGGGACGCTGTGCGCGATCGGCGTGATGGCCGCGGCGGGGTACATGGCTGCGGAGACCGACAGACAGCGCGCCGGGTGGAGGGGTGAGGGGCGGCAGGGCCAAGAGATGGGGCGAGGTCGAGGGAGGGCGGGGCCAAGGGCTGAAGGGACGAATGGGGTGGGGCCGAGATGAGGAAAGGGCGGGGCCACAGATCGAGGGGCGGGGTCAATAGGAAGGGGTGGGACCATGACTCAAGGGGGTAGGGGCGGGGCTACACCAAGAGCCAAGGTCAACGTCACGCGAAGACTAGATGGGGTGGAACTGTGGTTCAAGGCTCAGGGCTCCAGTTCACAAAGGAGGAAAGGGCCAAGGACCTAAATTAGAAGGGGCGGGGCGAAAACTGAGGGGCGGGGCCACAGCAAAGCCAGGCCTCAGGAGTACCAGAGTGGGGAGGGGGCTTTGCCAGAGGCACTGTCAGTCAAGGTGGGGCGTGAGGGGCGGGGCCAAATGTTGGAGGAGGGAGGAGAAAGAGGTGGGGCCAAGAGCTGAGATTGGGGCAGGGCCAGAGGTAAGGCCGCCCCAAAAGACCGTTGCCAAGCGACAGTGCCAAGAGCCAGGTCCAGCTTTGGGGGGTTGGGTGCAGAACAAGGGAAGTGTCCCGAGTGGGCGGGCCCGGAGGTGGGACTAGAAGACGAGGAGGCACAGGGCTGTGACCGGAATTAAGAGGAGCTAGGATGGGCGTGGCCGGAAGGAAGATTGACGGCCCGGGGCCAGGCTGCCTCCCTACCTGTGTACTGCTGGACACCAGAGAAGGCAGGGTGGAGCGTCTCGGCCATGGTTGGGCTCTGAGCTGCGGGGCAGACAGAGGAGCTGGGTGGGGCTGGGGCGGTAGAAGTCTTCCGTCCACCCCCATCCTTGACAGCCAGAAAGTGAACCCACAAGTATATGGTCTAGCTTCACCCTTGTGCCAAACTCTGTACAAGATGACCCTCAATTTTACAGGCGAGGAAACAGATTCAGAGAGGGTGAAGTCACTCACATAGGGCCACTGGGATAGGAAAAGGCAGAGGCTGGATTGGAACCCAGGTGTCTCAGAGCCCATCTGTCCCTATCCTGACCCCTCATTTCCAGGGGGACCCTTCGCTGCCCCGCTGTTTTCTCCGGACTCACCAAGACTTCCGCCTGTCTCCCAATCACTATCCATCCCTATGCCCTTCTCCCAGCTTGCCCACCGATGCCCCACGGACCCCCAGCCACCACCAGGGGAAGAGGGAAGAGGAGGGGAGAGGCCATCAAAGCTGGGGAGTCTGGGAAGGATTCAGCCTGAAAGCTCTGCTCCAGTGGAGGGGTTATTAGAGGACAGGAGTGATGGAACAATTTTGTATCTTGGGGGTGGAGGGGGTACTGAGCATTGAACCCAGGGCCTTCACACTGAGCTATGCCACCCCTGTTTTATTTTTTATTTTGAGACAGGATCCCACTGATCATTAAGTTGCCCAGGCTGGGCTCAAACTTCGTATCCTCCTGCCTCAGCCTCCCAGAATGCTGGGATTACAGGCTAAATTTTGTGTCTTGATTGTGACAGTTGCAAAAATCTGTTTGTGACAAAAGGGTGCAGAAACACACACAAAAAACACACACCCGAGTGCTTGTGAAACATGGTAAGATCTGAATAAAATCTGAGTCAATCCTACCACACCAATGTCAATGTCCTAGCTGTGACAATATGCCATTGCATCCATTCATTTCAAAATTTAAAAGTTAAAACCAACTTCTCCATGGTAGAGATGACTTAATTCACAGAAGGTTTTGGAAGATGTTTGTCCTAACAATCATGGCATTGGGTGGAGAGAAATGGCATCCATCTGATGCATGAGGGCAGGGAACAGCCCGAGTCAGTGCCTGCTTAATATTTTTTGCATGAGCAAGGGATCAGGAATGACTGGAGGCTCTGCTACCTTCCCAAATCCTAGTGATGAATAAGTAAGATCGATGGTGATGCTTTTATTATAGGTCAGGCCCACGGCTGCATACTGGTGTCACTGTCAAAGCAGGGTCATGACATGAGAAATGTCATTTGCCTCATTTCCCAGAACAGCAAACTTCTACACTATGGTGGAGGGACACTCTAGGGGACCACCAGAGTTACCTGGGTAGGGCACCAGGCCATTGGCATACACGGTCTCCAGGGCAGGGTGCCCGCCTGGGAAGGGCACAACGCCAGCAAAGCCATTGGTGATGGGTGCCACCAGGCCGGGCACGGTGGCAGTGCCGAGCAGCGGGGGTGAGTGCAGCCCTGTGGAGGGGAAGGGGTCAGGCAAGCCTGGGCCACCGCTTGGCCCCCGCCCAGCCATCCTTAGGCCCTGGCAGCTGCTCACCAGAGGCAGGAGCGATGGGCGTGGCAGGCAGCCCGTTAAGGCTGACAGCGCCAATTTGCTGGATGTGGCAAGGAGAGAAGGCCATGCCGGGGCTCAGGTAGCTGCCCGAGGTGGACAGGACCGTCGTCTGCTGCTGCATGAGCTGGGGGAGGAGAGGGCGTCTGTGGGTGGGGTCTGCCCTGAGATCACAGCTCAAAGGCTGTGGGTCCCCAAGAACTGGAGGTGTGTATTGGGGGGGGGGTGTCACACTGTTTATCTTAGCTCGGGCTGGAATCGGGGCTCAGTTAGAAATTGAGGTTCGGACCAGGGATTTATTAGCTCAGTGGTTCCACCGCCTGCCTCGCAAGTGCAAGGTCCCAAGTTCGATCCCCGGTACCAAAAAAAAAAAGGAAAAAGAAAGAAAGAAAAAGAAAAAAGAAATTGAGGTGCAATCTAGAATCAGGGCTCAGTCAGGGCTGTGGAGCTCAGCCTGGGCTCAGGACTCAATATGGATTCAGGGCTCCATTAGAAACTGAGGTTCATGGGCTGGGGATTTGGCTCAGTGGTGCTGCCACCTGCCTCGCAAGCCCAAAGTCCTGAGTTTGATCCCCGGTACCAAAAAAAAAAAAAAGAAACTGAGGTTCAGCTTGGGATCAGGACTCAGTCTGGGATTAGGGCTCAGTCAGGAATTGGAATTCAGATTTAAGTGAAATCTTAGCTTGGGATCAGGGCTCAGTCAGGAATTGGAGCCTATCTTCAGATCAAGCTGAGATCACAGTCTAAGTTTAGGGCTCAGTTAAAAGCTGAGGTTCAAGGCCGGGGATTTAGCTCAGTGGTTTCGTCGCCTGCTGTGTAAGCACAAGTACCCGAGTTCGATCCCCCTTACCAAAAGGAAAAAAAAAAAAAAATCCGTAAAACTGAGGTTCAGCTGGGGATTTAGCTCAGTGGTTCCACCACCTGCTTCCCAAGCGCAAGGACAGGAGTTTGATCCCCAGTACCAAAAAAAAAACAACTGAGGTTCAGTCTCGGATCAGGACTCAGTCTATGTTTAGGGCTCAGTTAGAAATTGAAGCTCAACCTGGACCACCGCTTAGCCTGATCAGATCTCAATTTGGGGTCAGCCTGGATTTGGAGATTCAGCCCAGAATTGGCTAGAATCTAATTTTTTTTTTTTTGGCTAGAATCTAAATTTGAGGACAGCTGATATCAGCGCTCAGCCCAAGGTTGAGTCTTACTTTTCTTTTTTGCAGTACTGGGGATCGAACTCAGGACCTTACACTTGCGAGGCAGGTGCTGTACTACTGAACTAAACCCCCAGCCCCAAGGTGCAGTCTTAATTTGAGACTAGGGTTCAGTCTACAGTCAGGGCACAGCCTGAATTAGGGGCTCAGTCTGAGTTTAGTCTCCAGTCAGGATTGGGGTTCAGCCTGGATTTGGTGGCTGAGCCTAAGATTGTACCTTCCTGAGCTGGAGTTGCAGCTGGGGTTTGGGGCTCAATTCAGCCTGATTTTGGGGGGCCCAGCCACAGCCAGGATGGGGTCCTGAGTCAGACTGAGCAAGAGGCAGGAAGACGGCAAAGAAGCTGAGGCCCTCAACAGGGAATGGATGGGGTGGGATGAGCTGGGTCCCCAGCACAGCCTTGGGAGCCCCGTGCCTGCAGGGCCCGAGTCGGGTCACTCACAGCTTGGGCGTAGGCACTGTAGGGGCTGAAGGGCAGGGCGAGGGATGGTGTCAGGATGCCCAGCTGGCCCACCATCTGCTGCATGCGCCGGAGGGTGCGCTCCTTGTCTGTGTCTGCAAACTTGACTACCAGGCTGGAAGAGGCTCCCTGTGGGGCGGTGGAAAACCAGGAGCGAGAGAAGCGTGGGAGGAAGCCAGGACTCCAGGGTCCCCACCGCCTGCCAGCACAGGCCCTTGAGTGATGCGCAGGAACTGGGGCCACAGTGCAAATGGGGTGGAGCTCAGCACCCCAGGGCCACAGGTGACAGGTGCCCCCTGCTCTATGGGTGCACACACGGTCGACTCCCTGACATTGGGGCTCAAGGAAAGGGACCTCTTTGCCTTTAGCCAGATCCATCCCAATACACTCTGCAGCCTGTCTTTGCCGCCACGCCCCTTTGGATGGGAGCGCACTCCCTGCAGGACATTATGTATGACCATGGTGTCTCTTGGGACCCCTTCCTCAGGAAGACACCTCCATGACCCTCAGAGCCTCACCCTACTACAGACCTCTGAGGTCCCCCCACAGCCCACCATTTCTGCCCATGTCTCTGCAGACCTGTCCTCCTCTCTGGCCCCCTGTCTGTCTTGACCCCTGCCCATTCCCTGCTTCCTCCCAAAGGAATATTTGCAACTGACCTGGCCCATCCTCCAGGCATGCTCACATGTGCACTGACTTACACACTCACACATCAACACACATGTGCACCGGCACACACCACACACACTCACCACAGCCAGGGGCTGCACTCCTCTGGAGAGGAGCCAGGAGCTACGGGCCTGCTGCAATGGAAGGCACAGGGCCTGCTTTGTCCCTGTCCCCCTCACTCTGCCCCACGCCCCCTCACTGTGTCCAGGGAGGCTCCCACTCACCGGCATGGTCTGGCTGCCGTGCAGGGCGTGGATGGCCGCCTGTGCCTCCGTGTGGGAGGAGAACTTGACAAAGGCACAGCCTGCACCAAGAGGAGAGGAGGTGAGGGAGAGGGGCTCAAAGGACAAGAGGAGGACAGGGTGACCGGACACACAAAACCAGAGTTAGACAGTTGAGCACCAAGAACACAGCTGGACAGCCCGACAGACCTAGGGTCAGCCAGTAGGACGGACATCAGGGCCAGCCAGAGTTGGGGCCAGTGTGGCCAGCGCACTTCCGGCTGGCCACCCAGCCCCGGTGGAGAGGTAGCTGCCCAGCAGCTCGCCAGTTAAACAAGCTGCCCGGGAGTCTACACACACACTCGAGTGGACAGAGCCCGGCAGGCAGCATCAGGGAGGAGTCCTGTCCTTTACAACAAGTGAGGGGACAGGTGTGGGAACACCCACCCACCAGAACCCCGTCCAGTCCAGACCGTGTAATCAGACGCACAGAATGCAAACAACAGCATCGCGTCATCACCTGACAGTCACAGAGACAGTCCTGTGGGCAGAGTCACACATGGGGGTCACAAACCACCGTGCCGGGGGGACCTGGATGGCCACACAGGCAACATCAGGCTGACAGACAACCAGAGACCACCAGACACAGGCAAATTCCATGGGACAGGCAGGAGGACAGGGGCTGCAGGACACAGCCCGCCGGCCAGCTCCAGTGTCCCGTGGCACAGCCAGGCAGCCATGGTGGTGGCAAAATGTTCTGGAATTAGCGGTGATGATGGCACAGTTGCATGACCATACTAAAGAGCATTCCTTTGTAGACTGAGACAGGGTGAACTTCATGGTTTGTGGATTAAGTATAAAAAGTCAGGCCCAAACTGGGTGTGGTGGCGCACACCTGTAATCCTAGCACTCAGGAGGCTGAGGCAGGAGGATCACCAGGAGTTCAAGGCCACCCTGGACTACTTAGTGAGTTCAAGCCCAGCCTGAACTACAAAATGAAGCCCTGTCTCAAAGAAACAACAAAAAAAGGTCAGGCCCAGCTAGAACACTGAGAGACAGGCTCTGGGAGGACCAGATGACAATGGTTCCCGGTCAGAACCAGGTAGAGGAATAATCACAGAACTCACAACCCTCAAATGATGCAGGGGACCAGGGAGAATCAGGTCTCCGCCCTGCCCACCAGCCTTGCTCCAGTGGCTCAGGCCCCCCCATCCACCCACCCACCCTGCCAGCCCCTCCTCTTCTTTTGGCCCTGCCCATCATCCAACCGCACCCACAGCTAGCCCCACCCCTTCCCATGGCCCCGCCCCCAGGCAGCCCTACCCCACAGACCCGGCCCACCCTTCAGCCACACCCCCAGAGTCAGGCCCACCCTCTGGTCTCTTCCACCCAGGCCCCGCCCCAGTGCAGCCCTAGCCCCACCCACAGGCAGGCACCGCCCACTCCCGAGACCCCGCCCCTCCCGCAATTCACCTTTGCTGCTGCCGTCAGGCCCCCTGAGCACAGTGCACTCATCGATGACCCCGAAGGGCTGGAACAGCCGCAGCACATCCTCCTCCGACTGCTGCTTGTTCAGCATCCCCACAAACAGCTTCCGGTCCCCTGTGGGCGGAGACACCACCTCAGCCGAGTCCCTGGTCTCCGGGATTGCTCTGTCCCTCCCTGTCCTGCGCATGTGAGGAGGGACATGGCCACAGGGAGAGGAAGGCCACCTCTCCGTGCGTCCCCAGCTCTGCCCCTCGGTCACTGCACAACTCCCGAGTAATCAGGAAGGTGGCAGCTTCATTTCCCAAAGATGGCAAGCTGGGTTACTATAGAAACTGTGGCGGGTAGCTGTCACTCACTTGTAGGGGTGGGAGGGAGAGAGGAACAGAAGCAGAGCCAATGAGCGCAGGGAGAAAGAGACCCGTGGTGGGGCAGAGAGATGGAGTGCAGAGAAGGAATCAGAAAGCGAAGAGGAGACCGGATGTGGGAGGAAAGGAGAGGGAATCTGGAGACACAGACCCTTTTCCCAACTCCCTGTCTCATACTGGTGGCCAGAAGGGAGAGTGTGAAAGTGTTCTCCAACCCAGAGGGGCTCTGCCGGGCTCCTACACATACACGGGAGCCTTAACACCCCTGCCCATACCTCTCCTACCCGCGACCTGGCTGCTCTCCTTCAGCTCCTCTACCCCCAAGATGGAGAGAGAATGTGAAAATGTTCAAGGATGTCCAGCCCTGGATCCCATCGAAGACTGCTGAGTGACCCCCCCCCCCCGACACACACCTTCATGGGCACACCCCACACTGAGATCCGGGTCCAGGCAGACCCCTGTGGCCCCAGCCTGGAAAACAGCCTACCCCTGGCCGCCTACACCCAAGCACGCATGCGCGAGCGAGCAGGCCCGTGCAGGTGGCGCCACACCACTGAGCTGCACACGAGTGCTCATGCGCACCAGCTACAGAAATGTTTGCACGCATCTGGACATGCGTCTGCACGGCCGAACATGCACACGCACAGACTCATCCGGAAAACTCTAGCCCACAGGGACCCCATGAGGACTCCTATCACCATGCCCTGAAAAGAGCAAGGTATCTCCAAGCTGGGGAAGCAGCCGCGCTGGCCAGACCCCCACACCCCGGGCCACTCCTGCCCGACCCAGCCGAGCTTCCGCCACTGTCCCTCCTTCCCCCATTCTGCCGCCACCCCCGTCTGGTGTCCACGGACAGATGACAACTACCTCCGCGGCTCTCGCTATCAGCAGGCTTCACCTGGATTGGCCGCGCCATCTGTGAGGAGAGACAGGAGGGAAGAGTAAACGTTGGCAGCATGGGAGGGGGCCCGGGACCCCTGCCCACCTCCCCTCCCGTGGCACCCACCACCCTCAGGGCCCCATAACACCCCAGTCAAACCTGTATCTGGCAAACTCTTACTTAGCCTTCAAAACCCAATGACAATTATCCTTTCTTCCTGGAAGTCTTCTTGTCCTATCTAAATGTGACAGATTGTTTGCAAAGATGGCCCAATTCCTCCAGTGCCCTGTATGTCAGGTGACTTTGAAGTTCCTGCCATCAAGAACTAAAACCTATTTCCCCAGATCTGGCATTGGACCTGACCATGAGACCTTTTCTGATCAACAAAATGAGGTGGCTGTGAAGTCCTGAATTCAGAGCCTTTGTCTTGCCTTTCTGGCACGCTAGGACTGCCAGTTGGACAAATATAAGCTACTGAGTGACACCCACCCCCAGGAAATGCCAGTAGAGTCCAAATGACATAGGCCCGGTACAGAATCATGAGCAGATAAATTGACCAAGATAGCTTGTTACTCGGCAGCAGCTGACTGATACACCCAGACAGCCACTTTCAGCCAGCTCCCAGCAGAGGGATGAAATGGCTGAGTGGACCAGTGAACCATCAGGAACCACTGCTCTGAATTCCTCCACCCCCACCCTGGTCCTGAAATGTTTAGTGAGAGGAAGCCCTCCCACCCCCTTCCCCTCACATACATAGTCCTGGGAATGAGCGAATGCCAATATTTGAGAAGACTCAGGGATGTGAGAGTAGAGAGGCATTTGCTTGTCTACAGTCCCGGGACAGAATCCCCCTCTCAGCTTGGAGCCTCCTAAACTCGTATGCATCCCTCACAACCCAGCTCAAAGCCCCCAAGCAGGCAATCCCACCTTGCTTCTGCCTCAGGGCTGGAAGTGTTAGCATCTTGCTCTGTCTCACTCCTGCCTGGGGACAGTGTGATCCCACACAGGGCAGGGCAGGTGGAGAAATCAGAGCTGAACACCCCAGGGGAAGCGGCCAAGGCATAGGCAGGCACCCGTGGCTGGGACAGGTGCTTGTCACAGACCCTCCCAGGTGAGTGCCCCCATGTCCACTCGGCCCCCCAGGGGGAGGGACAGGGCTCCTGCCCCATCTTAAGCTGTCACCAATGAGGCCCAGAGGGAAGGGGCCGCATGTCCCAGCGGACAGCGGAGAGAGCTACCGGACTGTGGCCCCAGAGAACTCCCCACCAGCGCCCAGGGGCACAGCCCAGTCCCCATCCGTGAGCCCCTAAGCCTCCCGCCTCGGGAGTCCTTCCTTCTCCCACCCGTTTCTCAGACCCCGCCTGCCTCTGAGAAGACCCTCGCCCTGGGCTCCCTCCCGTCCTCCCCCTCCCCTGCCGGGCCCTCTTCCCTCCCAGGCCTCCCCTTCCCGAGTCCCTTCCCACCCCTCGAAGACCCTTCCCCTACTGGTCCCTTCCTCCTTGCTGAGTGTCCTGGACACCTTGGGGTTAGCTCCATTTGAACTCAGACTTGGGAACCCCAGAGAGGCCTCGGCCTTCCCCAGCCCAACATTCCCGACACCAGCCACACCCCTCCACCGCCACGGCCCTGAGCACCCACCGGGCAGCACCTCAACCCCCTCTCCCTTCCCCACAGCCCGCAGTGCCCCACCCATCCGCCCAGCCCACACACCCCGGCTCCTCGAAACCTGGGTACCACAGCCCAGCACACTGGCGGCAGGAGGAGGTTATTCCAACCGGATGGGACCAGCTTCTGGGACTGGGGTGGCCAGAAGAGGGGGGACAGGAGGGGGAACCCCGGAGCTCTAGCCTCCCGCCCCCCCCCCCCCCTCCCACCACCCCTCCCGCCTCCGCTGGCCCTCCCCTCCTCCTCTCCCCTCCTCCCTCCCAGCACCTTGGGCAGAGGAGGATGGGGTTGCCATGGCAACGCTGATTCACCACACGGAAGCTGGCAATTGTTGTTGCCATGGAAACCGCCTCTTAGGGGCGAGCCCAGCTCCTGCCTTGCATAAAAGAGATATTTAAATATAATCTTTTAGAGATGGATGAGCCAAAGCAGAGAGGCCGGGAGGGGCGCACACAGGGAGCGGATCTACCTCCATCACCCAGCCCCTCCACCCGCACCCCCTTCGATCGATCGGTCGCAGGGCTCGGGGTACCTGCTGTCCGCCCCTTACTCCCTGCCCGGCCTCCGCCGGAGCCGGGACCTCCGGCCTCTGATTGCAGGGCCCCTTCCCCCATCCTGGGCTAGCGAGGGACAGAGGAGAGGGTCCCGGGCTGGCCCAGGGAAGCCGGTGGGGACCGCCCCCTGCCCCCAGACCCCCAGCCGCTGCTGCGCTCCAAGGCCCCTTGGTGCCCAACCCGAGGCCGGGCGCCCGCCTTACCCACCGGCCGAGATGCGCCAGGCTGGCATCCACGTGCCGCCGCCGCCCGGGCGCATGGGCGTGCACACGCTGGGCCGGGAGGAGGCGCCAGGCGGGGAGCTGGGTCTCCCCACACCCCACCCTCCTGTCGCCCTTGCCCGCCCGCCCATCTGGCCCTGCCCACCTCCTTCCGGCTCCCTCTCTCCATCTGTCCCACGGAGGTCTCTGCCGAGTGCCCTCCCTCCCTCCTCCACCTTCTCTGGCTCCCCATCACCCCATCCCTTCCCTGCCCCCTCCCTTCCTCTTTTCATTAGCTCAACATCCTCTCCGGTGTGCCCCCATGTTTAGTACTTTGAGGACCTGCCCCGGTATCAGAGAAAGCAGACAGAGTTCAGACACTGACACTCCCACATGGGGGTTAGGGGTTGGCACAGAGGACAGGGAAGAACCAAAAGTTATGTTGGTGCTTCACTGAACGTGGAAAATCTGCAGTGGATTTCGAAGTAGGCATAGGAGCTTAGGGGTAGGGGTTGGAGACAAGAACCTAGCACAAATGAAAGGGAAATGAAGTGAGACCAGAAAGACTTGGGGTTTCCAGGGTTCTGAGAAAGCAAAGCTGCCCTCCATCATCCTGGGCAAAGAGCATGCTGAGCACACGAGGAGACCAAGTTGTGAGGCCAGGGAGTGGGCTTGGGGTGCTTCCTGGGAGGGGCCCTCTTGGACCCCTGAAGTTTCTTCCCAAGACCTCGGGGAAGAGAGGAACAGTGTCCTCTCTGACGGGTCCTCAAGATAGGAGCTGGACCCACAGCCCCCACTTTTTCCGGGGCCCCCAGGAATCCCAGGCTCCTGCTTGGGGTGAGAGGCCAGGGGCCTGTTGGGGTCTGAGTCCTGGCTCAGCCTGTACTCCGGGGTCCCAAGATCAGATCTGGCTTCTATTCCAGGAGATTGGTATTCAACTGAGAGCTTTTTTTGGTACCGGGGATCAAACTCAAGACCTTGCGCTTTCAAGGCAGCCGCGGTGCCACTGAGCTACATCCCTGGCCCTTCAACTGAGATCTTATTCCAGAGCAGTGAGTTGATTAAACTATGACCCCCACGGACACCACCCTCAGCCACTGGAGGGACCAGCAAGGAGGGGCGTCGCCTCGCTCTTGAAAGCAGCTATGGGGGCTACGGAGGTGGGGGAGATGCACAGGTGCGTGCCGCCACGCCTGGCCCTTGTGGTTGACAGAGTTAGAAAGACAGAAGCGCCCATTCCTACTGCCCTCCAGCCCCACCCCCCTGCTGCGGGAGAGAAGCAGGGACGGGGTACCCAGCTCCTCCCCTCCCTGCTGGGCATGCGAAGTGCATGATGGGGAAGGGACCCTTCCCTGTGAGGGGCGTAGCTCTGCGGAATTAGCCCCATGGAGAAGCTCCTGTGGGAGCAGTCTCCTGGGCTCAGGCATCTGCCCCACCATCCTCCAGCCTCCATTCCCAGGGTGTTCCTACCCCCAGCGCCACCTCATCTTTTGCTCATGAGAAGAATGTCACCCTACACACACTATGTATTCTGGGACCTGAACTCCTGATTCTCCAAGGCAGAAATTCAACCCTTGTTCACCAAAACCACATCACATTATATGTGTTCATTGCAGCAAATACTGAAAAAACCCTCAAACACCCCTCCATCACAGGTTAAAGAAAGTGCACATTTGCGTGATGGAGTACTATGCACCAATGAAAAAGCACACAACTGCTTCCCAAGCCAAGGATGGGTCTCAGCTACATCCTAGCAAGTAAAACCAAAAGGCAGGTCAAAAAGATGATCTGCATAGGGGCACGGTGGTGCACACCTGTAATCCCAGCATTCAGAAAGATCACTGTGAGTTCGAGGCCAGCCTGGGCTACATAGTGAGACACTGTCTCAAACAAAGAAAGACTTGGGTCAGGGATTTAGCCCAGTGGCACTGCACCTGCCTTGCAAGAGCAAGGTCCTGCTTTGATCCCCAGTACTGAGAAAAAGAAAGAAAAGACTCTCAGACTCCTCATCTCCCAGATGCACCTCTCAGCCACCTCCTCCTCACTATGAAGCAAAATGAGGATTCCAGCAGCACGGAGGCCAAATCAGAG